AATTCAATCAGTAACATTCAATTATCTCAATTAAACAATGAAAGGTCAATTCATACGCTCAGCAATTGCAAACTGGCAAGAAATTGATATAAACCTAAGTATGACGCCAAATACAGCAAAGGTGTGGACACAGGAGTTTCCCACAGAGTGCTTTTTGAAATGTGAATTACATGACTATAGAAATCTAAGAGATTAATTTCCGATGGCATTTACAGGTTATCTCTACACTTAACAACAACTTGCATGTATACAATGCCTTTAACATAGTAAAATGTTCCAAGAAGCTTAAACTTAAGGATATTAGGATACCTGGGAACTGGCAAGTGGAAGAGGAGTGGACTACAATATAAACCTAAGGGAAAGAGCCACTAGAAGTATACGTTTGATGGACAAAAGTGCACTCCTGTATTTACAATTTCTGTGATACAGTGCAAAATATTCAGCACTTACCTAGCTGCTTGTTGTTTGGGTTAAAATCAACACTGGTGACCACATCTTTATGACCTTTAAAGTTGTGTTCTAAGTTTGGATCCTCCTAGGATAGTAAAAAGGTTTAATACCTTACTTTACTCCATTATTGGTTGCCAAATATACCAAGTTAAAACTTGTTGTCTTTGTTGAAAACTAGGCATCATTTAAGACTTATGATCTTTCCACGAATTGTGATTCCAGTTCAAATATTGGGAAAATTCATCTTTGTTACTTATCACGTTTGATAAGACTCAATTCAACCAATACAAAATTATACTCTATTACTCCAGCTGTAATTCCAAAGCCACTCAAAATTAGTGTTCCTGAACAAAACGTTGAAGAAATTGAGTAATCCCAAATTGAAGACATTTGTATAACTTTCACAATATGTTAGAGTATATGTTGTATTAAACTAAATTAAAACTAGACAAGGATAATGCTGGTTTTGAGTGCCTTCACAAAGGTGTGTGTCTATATAGCATTTGAAAGCTTTATGATAACTTGCATGTTTAGTAAAGAGAAAAATTAATGGACAAAGACGACGTTGACCACACAATCAACATCTATAAAGTTTATTAAAATATTCTTGTATGCAGTTCATGGAAAACACAAACCTAATATTAAACTTTTAAAACTGTGGTGCACAGGAAAATGTTGATTAAAATACAAATAAAGGGGAATTTCCACATTTCAACATCTTTAGTTTTCAATTTATACTGAAGCAAAATGTGGATCAGCTTCTGGCAACCTAGGATTTGCAAACATTTTTCTACAATCCTTTGTGTTAACCAGTAGATGGTGCTGCAAGTTTTTGATTACACTTTTTGTAAAAGTCTCATTGTAACTATAAAGTTAACATTTTTCCATTTACTACAACAGTCATGGTGATTATCTTAGGGTTGACAACTGTTAAACTATGGCCAACATTTTAAATAGACATAAAAAGGAAAACAGAACATTGGGATACTACACAAAAACAAAGTACTGGAGAAACTCAGCAGGTCTGCAGCATCTGTGGATAGTAAAACAGTTAACGTTTCGAGTCAAGTAAATGCTATCTCTGTTTTACTCTTGTAGACACTGCCAGACCTGCTGAGTTTTCCAGCACTTTTTAATTTTGAGTCCTCAACATCTGCAGTTCGTTTAGTTTTACTAGGACATTCCAAATGCCTGTCAAAAAATGTACAATTGATTAATATGATTCTCCAGTTGTTTTCAAAAATAACTGGCAGATAACATTATCTTTGTCTATAAGAATTGTACAGTAATGCATTTTATAATTTATTTCATTCTTAAAAAGATATACAGCTGTGATTTTTGAAATGGAAGGTTGAAAGAAGGTCTGAAAAAGGTCTGAAAGAAATTTAGTTAGTTTTAAATGGTATCAAAATGGAAAGACCAAAAGTTTTTATATTTTGCAATAAGATTCCTTTGAAGGGTATCTCAGTCTAGCTCAGATGTTGTGTCAGTTCAATCAAGTAACATACACCAGCGAACAATAGGATACAGGGAGGTTTGTGGCATGGGTCGAATTGTGGCTCACAAATACTGAGGACAGATACATTTTAGCAGGAAGAATGAGTAGAACCACTATAAAATAAAAGTGATAAAATTCTAAATGGACAACTGTAACAGGGACAACTAGAGGTAGGAGTACAATTCTCTGAAAGCAGAGAATGTTGAGAAAATGGTTAAAAAGCATACAGGATCCCGAGATTTATAAACAAAGGCACAGAAACAAAAATGAGGAGGTTTTGATAAATTTTGACAAAACAGTGGTTTGGTTTCAATGGTACGCTGTGTTCAATGTTGGTGATATGAAGGCTTTAGACAGGGTGCAGAAAACATAAAACTGGTTCAAGGGATGAGAGAAATTGGAGAAAAAAAGTGACTCCATATGACATTTAAGCTCAATTGATAAAATCTGGAACTGAAAGCTCATCCCTGTATTGGTGACCATGACAGATATCAACAATTATCATGAAAACCCATCTGGTCCATTGATTTCTTTTATCTTCGTACTTAGTTTGGCCTATATGTGACAACAGCGTGGTTGACTCTTAAATGCACACTGAAATGGCCTAGCAAGCCACTCAGTTCAAAGGTAGTTGGGGATGGGCAACAAATACTGGGCTTATTAAGCGACATCCAATTCCCATGAAAGAATAAGTTTAAAAAGCCAATATGAATCCAGTTACTGGTCAAGGTCCATTTCACAAACTGAATGAAAGCTTATCTATATAATGTGTGATTGAATGTCCTGAGCATTAATTGATCTCTAGATTAAACATGCAATTTCCACCAGGCATTATTCGCCACCTCAGACCAGGAAAGGTCACGCTTTCACTCTGTTTACACTACCAAACTGTTTTTTTCACTAATAGCATATTATTGAAATCAATGTTTTACCCACAGGCTATGAACTAAATTATAAGACTATTGTTGCATATAGTCCTTCTAACGCAATAACATTTCACCTTCTTATAGTCAATATCTCAATTTAGATCCACTCCATATATTTTTATGTAAAATCAGATTTTTCACGTTGTATTCAATTGTTTAGCTGGAGTTTAGATGCAGAGAAATGGTTAAGTATTATTAAAATCCAAACTGATACAATGGGACTAACTGAGGTCATTAATCACGATGCTCCAGTAAGTGTGATACGGGGCAGTGAGATGAACTAGCTGGTCTTTTTGTACCAATGTAATATGATCAGTACTTAGAGCAATTGCTACCCCCAAAGTGTCAGCATGACTCAGTGGGTAATACTCACATTCAGTCAGAAGTTTAAAATCTAAAGACCAGACTTAAGAGAATCTAGGCTGAGGTTCAAACGCAGCATTAAAGTGGTGCATGGTCTGAGCTCGAGTCTTTCCGATGAGATGTTAAACCAAGGGTCCATTTACTCTTAAGTGGGTGTAAGAAATCCCATTGAACTATTTTGTAGAAAGGTTGAGGAGTTAGTCCCGGTATCCCAAATAATACTTATTCCTTAGTCAATTTAAAAAGAAACCAGTTACTTGGTTGTAATCATATTACTGTTTGCAAGTTCTTTCTGTCAATGAAGTGGCTTCCCTTTTTGCTACAACAGCGACTGCACTTTTTAACCAATTTATTTCCTTTAGAGAATTTTGGGACATGCCAAATTATTGAGTTTGGTTTTCAGTTTTATTAACAATAGTGGTTTTTCAATACTCACTAATTCACTGATCTAGAAGACAGCCATCTCATGATAATTGGCAAAAGCAGAGGGGAAATTTTTTTTGTAATGATATGTAATCAAACTCCTGAAAGTGTTAGTGGAAGCAGATTCAATGAAAGGCCAAATGCTGGAAAAGTTGTAAAGTGGCAGGGAAACAGCAATGGGGTTGAAGTGGGGCTAAGTGGATAACTACTTCAAGGAGAGAGGAAAAGATAGGGTAATAAATATAAACGATTTTCATTGATTGGAGGCTCAAGAAGTGGGGGCCATAGCCTAAAAATTAAAGCCAAACCATTCAGCAAAGATGTTAGGAAGCACTTTTATGCACAAAGGGTGGTAGAGGTTTGGAACCCTCTTTAACAAATGGCGATGGAATCTAGATCAGTTGTTAATTTTAAATCTGAGATAAATACCTTTTTGTTAAGCAAATGTATTACGGAATATGGAGTCAGGGCAAAGATCAGCCATAATCTCACTGAATTGCAAAGCAAACTCGAGGGGCTGAATGGCCTACTCTTGTCCCGGAGACAGAAGCGGCCGAACGGCCTCCTCCAGGCCTGTTCCCGTCGACCGCTCACCCTCCACTCCTTTCCTTACCAGAGCGGAGGCCATGACGTACAAACGTGGTGAACCGGCGAAACGTTAACAAAGAACTTCCGGACCTCTGTCCACCATCCCACAACGTACGACATCAAGGAACGACTAAACCGCCTAGCCTCACGGCGGAACTCCACCGTTGGACGTGAAAACCGCCTTCAGGCTAAATCGCCAGAGGCGCATGCGCATTCCCGCGCCAAGAACGTCCCTTCAATTCTGGCTCCAACCACTGGCGCATGCATATCCCATCATTCCCCACCAAATCCCGTCATTCCCAGCACTCTCCAGGATCTGCGCACGCGCCACATTGCACCGCCCCGTCCCGTCCACAGAGCGTCAGCGCGCGCTCCGGTGGCCAATTTTGAATTTTTGAAAACGTTGCTACTCAGTCGGGTTCTACGCCTGCGCGCTATTCGTCACTCTCTGGAAAATTGTTTTTAAAGTCTCCGGACCGGCACCCTAATGCCACCGAGAAATACATTTCCTCCGAAGCAGACATAAGCTTCGTAATTTTATACACATGTAATATCAACAAACAACCGCATTTGAAGGGCTAAGTAAAAGACAGGTGAGAGTTTAATCTTTAAACTGCAGCTGCTGAAAACGTTGAGCTAGCTGGACAGGAACAGTGTATGCTACTCTTTATTTGTATTATTAAACCAGTTTCGACCTGCATTCAATCTCCCGGCTCGAATGGTTTATATAGAGCACTTTCATCACCGCAAGGGATGCTGGGATTGCCTATCGCCCATTAGTTCTTCCTACACTCCGCTGTTTGAAAGGAAAAGAGAAACAAGGTTCTGGTGACAGAGAACACCCTGCAAACGCATAGCTGAGAAAGGATTGGAAAGAAAACAAAAACCTCATCCTGGCGTACAAAGCCCTAGTCTCCCTTTGGGCAATTTTCCTCGAGGTTCTCTGGTTTCCTTTAGAAGTGGCCTTTTGCGCAGTCCTCACCCTTTCTTATGTCTAAATGTTTGATAACATGCCTTCAGGCATTGTGGCTGAAAGGTCTAGCATTCCCTCCAGAAAGGTTTGAAGCAGATGAAAGAGGGGAACTTATCTAGTCAACTAAATTTTTGTGTTTGACTACACACCTATGAAAAGCACCTTATAAACATGCGCTCTGCAGACTCGAGATCTAAAAACAAGCATCTAGCCAAACAGCATCTTGCATAGAGGTACATCCTTCTTAGGGTACCACCCCCCTTATTAAATCATCACTAATCTGATTTGTCCTCAGATTTGGAATGCTGTTAACACAGCCCCTGACCCTAACTCACCTGCAAAACACATTCCTATGCTAGACTACGTTGCTAATGCCACTTTCGCAGGCGTTACCACTATCTCAGAATCTCACCCCATCTGTTATTGCTTTGTTATCAATTGAATGATGCGGGGATGAGTTGCTCACAGGGGTTTTGAGAGTTTAAAGGTGAAAGAGGTTTCCACCCACATTGTGTAAAACAACCAATATTCAAAAAAGGATTAGGATTTTTAGCTAAATTCACTTTTTTCATTTATTCATTATCATTGCCTAAATTAGGGGCAAGAAGAGAAATCAGCTTGATTCTTGGCAGGGAGAAGTAGAGGCAGGTTAGAGAAAAGACAAAAGTTGATTACAGTATAGAGAAGAAGGGCTTCATATTCTTTTCACCATCGCCCCAGTGTAGATGACAGAGACTTTAGCTAAAATCTACAGAAGTGGTTGGTAACAATTAAAAGATACTTTGATGCTGGAAATGCAGAATGAAACAACATTGGAGAAATTCAGCACAACGTACCATCTGTTTGGAGAAAACAGTTAATAGTGCAAGTCAGTGTCATTGAGATGTACAGTACAGAAACAGATGCTACTGTCCAACTTGTGTCTCTGCTAACCACATATCCTAAATTAATCTAGCCCCATTTGCCAGGATTTAGCCCATGTTCCTTTAAACCCTTCCTATTCATATATGCATGCAGCTGCCTTTTCAATGTTGTAATTGTACCAGCCTCCTCCACTAGCAGTTCATTCCATACACCACCACCCTCCACATGAAAAAGTTGCCCAAGTCCCTTTTAAATCTTTCCCTGCTGACTTTAAATCTATGTCCCTCTAATTTTAGACTGCCCTCTTGAGGTGGAAGAGACAATAATTAAGGTTTGTAATGCAGTTGACAAAGTGGAACAAGAAACAAGATGGTGGGGGCGTGGAAAATAGTGCTAATGTTGGTAATGGATAGATTGTCCTGAAGGTTGTAAACTTTGCATTTCAAGAGTGCTCAAGCAGAACTGGAGTTTCTGTTTGAGCTGCAGTCAGGCATTGCAGCATGCCTCAGAAAAACAGTCTCGCTCCTATGCCAATGTGTCATTTCAATTTTTTTCTCCTTCATGCACCTGCAGCCCCAGAATGTTATTTTGGTCTCTAGATTAACAGTCCAATAATAATACCACTAGGCCATTGCCTCCCTGAAATAAACAACTGGAAGCTTTGATTCATTCTTATGGATAGCACAGATGTTCCCATGTGATCACCTAGCCAATGCTTGTATTAGCAAGCCCAAAAAGGTGAGCACATAAGCAATAAACACAGTAAAAACAGACAAAAGTAATACATGTAAACTGCTGCTTCACCTGGAAGCTGCACTTAAGATCTTGGACAGGCAGGCTGGAGGTGGTAAAATGGCAAGAGTTTTAAACTTCTGCAATTGCATGGTTAGGATAAATGGAATCTTATCCTGAATGTTGGGGTGGGGAGGCAAGAGAAGAGAGAGTAAGGACAGAAATGTGGGAAACACTGACAATTGAGGGCCCTGTCAACCTTAGGTTGAAGAGTTGAGAAAATCCTGGGAGGTGAGGAAAAGTGAGAACATGTCAGTGGAATCACTGTGGAAGAGACAGAAACTGGGCAAATGGAATGGAGTCCTTGCAGGAAGCAGAGGGTAAAGAAGTGTAGTCAGTCAAGCAGGTTTCTAGTGGATACTGATGGACAGCCTTTGCTAGAAGTGGAAAATAATAGAAAGGTCAGAAGGCCCAGGTGAAGATGAGGAAAGGGTTCAAATCAGAAGCAAAACAGTAATTTTTTTTTTTATTAGAACAATTTTTCCTCAACCCTTGCAGGAAGCAACAATGACATCATTCATGGAGCAGAGAAAGAATTGCAGGTGTCTCACCACTCCTCAGTAGGATTGGAACCAGGAATGTTCCACATATCCCACAAAGACAGGTGGAAATGGAACCAACACAGGTACCCATAGCCACATCTTGAACTTTTATTTTCTCCAAGTCAAAGTTGAAGGAGAAGCTGTTAAAGTTAGAATGAGTTCAGCTAGATGAACGCAGGTGCAATTGAACTCTTCAGGCCTTTTTCAAGTGGTAATGAGTTTTCAGACCATCCTGCAGAGACAAGTGTCTAGGAGCTGCATATTCATGGTTAAGGAGGTGGAAGCTGAGGCCAGGAAATGAAGTTGTAAAACTAGTATTTGAGATTCTTTTGATACTTTAAGTGGGAAGAGACTGAACAAAGGACAAAAAAAACCCCAAAATGCAAAAAAGAAATTTGTTGAAGGGAAAAGGCAGCTGTGCAGGACTGGGGAATGAAGTGGGTATTTGAAGAAATGTAATTAATTCACAATATAATACATTCAGCTAATACAAGTTTGAATTTTTTTTTGCTATATCAATTTTGCTGAGGAGCATGCTAATTTGCTCATTTTAACATTCATTTATGGGAGGTGGTATAGCTGGTCTTTGCCCATAGCTAGTTACACCAGAGAAGGTAACAAGGCAAAAAGAGGGTCATAATCAGAAAATAGAGATTGTGAACTACTATAATAATACCTTGATCAACGTTGCATGCTCTGTTGCCTAACCCAGTGTTGACTGCATCGAACGTTGAGGCTATTGTTTTATACAATGTTTCAGTTGTGATACTTGAAGGTAAACAATAGGAAAACTAAGTGTTTCTTCCCATTTGATATCTAAATAATTACACATTCAAAACAAAATTTACATTTCTTAAAAATCACAAGTACTACAACTACAGACTTGAGGAAGGGTCACTGAACCCAAAACGTTAACAGATTTCTCTCCAGATGCTGCTGGACCCGCTGAGCTTTTCCAGCTACTTCTGTTGTGGTTTCAAATTCAGACCTGTGTGTTGCATTTGAGGAGAGTGGTCAAAAAGGCGCACACTGCTGGATTTCTCCAGTTCTGACATTCCACACCAAGGAATACTCTAAGCAACAAATGGACAGACCCCATGTTTTGGAGAGTTTGGTTTTGATCAGGAAGTCAAATGCCACTGATACCATCCTGGACAATATTGATAAATGGCAGCACGGTAATGACACTAGAGGTTGCCAGGCTCCACAAGCTCCAGCAATGTCATTAATGTTGACATTAAAACATGCTTGGGCGTGAAAACTGCAGCTTTTGCAAAGTGTGGAACAGCAACAACCTGACAGAACAGAGTTTATCAAATTGTGACCTCAGCACATTTGCATTCTTGCCATCAGGAACTGCACAGCACAAGAACAGGCCTTTGGCTCACAATGTTGTGCTGAACATGCCAAATTAAACTGATCCCTCCTGCCTGCCCTTGGTCCATAATCCCTCCATTCCTTGCATATTCATGTGCTTATCCAAAAGTCCCTTAAATGCCCCTATTGTATCTACCTCTACCACCCCAATGTTCCAGGCACCTACCACAAAAAAAAAAATTGCGTCATCTTGGAGCTTTTCCCCTCTCACATTAAATACATGTCTCCTAGTTTTTAGATGCATCAACTTTGGGAAAAGATTTTATAGACTTCTAACAAGTCTCCCCTCAGCCTCTGCTGCTCCAGAGAAAACAACCTGAGTTTTTCTAGCCTCCCCTTATAAAACTTGACGTATTCAACAAGTGGAGAGAAATGGATGATCACTCTCTCATACCTATCCTCAGCATCTAGTCAGGATAAAAGGTCACTGGAGACCCTGAAATGTACTAATTCTTATCACTAGTTCAGCTACACTGTGGGTATATGGCCCTCAAAGACCTTCTTGTACTGTGAAACAGCTATTTGGCACAATCACCTAGACATCCATTCTTCTGCTACAAAGACACGATGTTCACATTGACTTTGCGAGTTACATCCATATCCATGGATAAATGTATGTCTGTGTGGTTTAGTGGACAGTCACCCAATTTAATCTCACCATTACATCAACAACCCAGCTGGAAGTTCAAGTAGACTAATATTTAAAAATGATGAGACGTTTCACCACTACCACCCTTAAATTTGCTCATCCTGTATTGATTTTTTTTTTTTTTTTTAAAAAAGGGCAATTTAATCTTCGCCAAGATGAATAAGCTCTCAATTCTATCTAGGATTGTCAATGCTAAAAGCCATGATTAAGTTGCACCCTGTTCCAGGGATATGCAGACAGAAAATTAAAGATGCTGAATTATCCATTGATACAAGTTCTCATTCCCATCTTTTCAATTATCAATTCCACTTTGATTTGTAATGGTACATTTGATCATGCAGACCCATATTCCTGGTTGAGTTGGTTATTCACTATGAACAGTTTGACTTCTCAACTTCCTTCTTGAACGGAGTGTTAGTCAGATGCCAAATAGGTGTATGGTTTTGTACAGTTATGAATTTGGAAAGACTGCCCATTTCAATGCAGCTAACTTGGTAATAGCTTAACCTAAACTTTGCTTTTCATAATCTAAAAATAGTTCATGATTTAGAATGCAATTCCTATGTTAATTATAACGTGTACAGAAAGCCTAGACAATGAACACACTAATCAGGAATTAAAATCAGATTTATTCTGAAAGATGTCCAACCCATCATGGAACATCTTAAAATCATTTATTTATTAAACATTTCAGTATTCTAATTTGTTTAGCCCCATACTATTGGGAATCACTTAATGGAAGTTCCAATTTTGCTGAGGATGCCAATTGGTGCAACAATCAGAAATGAGCACTGAAGATTAGGATATGCAATTTAGTCGCTACTAGACAACAGTAATGAGTGATATAATAGCTATTCAGTTTGGACATATGGCAGGTCAAGAAAGGCTGTTTAACTTTAACTCACTCTGTTGAAGACATTGAGCAACTCAAGATGCCAGAACTCCTGTTTAATGTAGTAAAAATGTGTCAAGCTGTTGCAGAGATTTGATGCCAATTGTAGATAAAAGTTGGGTGACCAAAGGTTTGGTCAACTGTAGAAAAAGGTATCTAAAGTTTTAGGGAATTTCAGAGCTGGACTACACAAATGTAGGTCAGACTCAGCAGACAAGCGATTTGTGAAATGGGACTTGTTAAATAACTCCACTTGCACTAAGCTTTTGAATACAAATTGCAGAGTGCTCAAAAACAGAAGGCATGCAACTTTTTACAGATTTGTACAAACATTATCTTTATAATCTAATTTTGAAGTGTTCCTCTTGATTGAATTCATATTCCTTGAACTAGGTACATGTTAAAAACCCATCATTGGGCAGACTTTACATTTTAGAAATTGCTACAACAGCAATATCTTGGATCGTTTGCCCAAAGGTTGCCATTTCAGTTCAATATACTCCCCACATGCACACATTTTGGTAAGAGTTAAATTAAAACACCTGACGCAAGGATATTTGACATTTTAGTTGATTGTTTAAACATTTAATTGGTTCCAAAATTGACACTCAGCTGGTAGTAATATATAAATATCTCTTGTAACTGGCCAAAATGGAATACTAAAAGCTAAGTTCACTGGACCTTTTAGTTTTTTGGTAACTTTTGAAAAACAACACATTTTGGATACATGGGGAGTAAAGTTTTAACTGAAATATCCAGCTGTACAATTTGAGATACTCGTACCCCTTCCCCTGCCACCCATCAAATATTACGATAAAAATATAACCTTTTTCTATAATAGTGAAACATATTACATAGAATCATACACCATCAAAACAGACCCTTCCGTCCTTTAGTCCATGCTGAACATAATCCCAAACTAAACTAGTCCCACCTGCCTGCTCCTGGCCCACATCTCTCAAAACCTCTCATTCATGTACTTATCCAAGTGTCTTTTCTGAAAAGCACTAAATTTTAGCAGGCCTTTTAAAAGTTTAAGTGGGTGAGGTGCTCAAAGAAAATTAACTCTTATGTACAGTTATCTACACAGGTGCAGAAACATATTACTGTTCTGCATCACTGAAGCAGTTGGAGTTTCTCTACCCAAGGTATGTCAATGACTTAGGAATATTTGATATCATCCCACCCCACATCATTTCAACATCTGAATTTATCACAAGTGTACCATGTAGAATAGTATTGCACACCGAATGGTTCAGTAGTTTGCATGGTACTCTAGACTTTTCAGTTGAAATCATGATACACAAAAAAGGTTACTCACTTTAAAATCAAGCACATTTACGTGATGTAATGCATTGTGCTCCCTCACCACTATTTTTCTGGTATGCCCAAAGGGAAGGGCAGAAAAAAAAATTGGTTAAGTGGAGGAAGGTGCTCTATTAAATCATTAAACTTCAAAAATACTATACAAGAACAGATTTTCAAAATTGCCATCAGCACTGGTGCTAGAGAAATAGCAAATTTTTAAACAAAACACCTGAAAGAACTACGGATGGTGTAAAATCAGGAACAAAAACAAGATTGCTGGAAAAGCTCTGCAGGTCTGGCAGCATCTGTGAAGGAAAAAAAAGACAAACAAACAGTTAACATTCAGGTCCGGTGACCCTTCTTCAGAACTGAGGTTCTGAGAGAGGGTCACCGGACCCAAAACATTAACTGGTTTTTCCTTCACAGATGCTGCCAGACCTGCTGAGCTTTTCTGGCAATCTTGTTTAAAACAAAAAAGTTGTGCTCACATCTGAACAAGTCTAGTCTAATATCCAAGGACAAACACAGATAGACTAAAGTTATGATGCATTTGATTTAATCCATTTGATGAGTTGACAAATACTCTGAAGAATCTCATTATACATGGCTGTTTTCTTCCACTGAACATTTCACTCATACTCATTTGTGAAGAGAAAATCTTTGCAGTTCATTTCCCAGAAACTGAGAAACTAGATTCTGAAACAATCATTGAAAAATGTGTGCAAGTATTTAGGGGCTTCATTGGGAAAGAGACCATAAAACAACGCTGAAATATTGTAAGTTAGTAGTGTTATCTATTTGGCTACAAGTTATGCTTTTTATCTACAATATTTAACAAATAAATCACAGGCATATTCAGTACAGTTTCAACTGAAACACCCTTTTCCTGAAAATACCAGTAGTATTTGAAGGATTAGTTTCTCTGCATCATGTGTCAGGAAGCCACCTACCTACAAACAAAAGTATCTACAAACCTTGTAAACAGAACTGCATCATTTAAACATAAATAATCCAAAATATTAACAGCCAAGTAGCAGAAATTAAAGTATCAATGAGGCAGGGCCCAAAAAACACCATCCAGAAATCAAGAAAACTAAATGTTCAGCTAACACACTGCTCAGGACAATTCTTAAAGTTGATTTTTCATCCTCTGTAACAGAACAAATCCTCAAAGCAAGTCATTTTTATACCAGGTTTGTGTGTCACTTGGGAGTTCCAAAAGCACCTTTAGTCTGGCAGAAAGCTTGAAGTATCTACATTCTTGGTGTGTCTTCTGTTGAAGTCCATGACAAGAATATCTTGTCAATCACACAGTGTAAAAAGACCCAATTTTTCTTTTCTTCTTGTAGCTCACTAGATCTAGTGTGTTAACATTTTGCGTACACTAGAGAGACGTTTCCAGACTATGTAGTGGGCTTCCTGGGGTTGAAGAGGTAGCAGACTTGCTTGTGTTGGTTGTAAGATGGATCCCACTGTCAACAGCATTGTTGTTTTCATTGAGAGATAATCTGGGTGAGGTATCATGTTTTGTTGGTGCTTCTTCATCACCTTCACTTTCATCAATTAGAGGGATATGAGTGTCAGAATCTTCTATTCTAAATTCTGGATGGGTCATAAAGTTGTGGATTGAGCTGCGAGATTCTGGTTTCTCTAATCCTTCATACAAGGAACTACGGAATGCATTCACCACTCTGAGCTGTAAGAAAATACGCAGAGTGTCAGATGTTTGACAAAGCAACATGGATAGGTCTGATAATGTTACAGAATGATTAAGCTGCAGAGTTGAAATCCACAGTTACATAGCAACACGTGAAATCTGTATCGTGCAGAATGCAGTGGAAGCTTGAAGAACTGGAAAAAACTTGTAAGACATTTTAGAACAGTAAATAAATCTTGAAACAAGCATGTTACCTTGGTGTAAGCATTCAAGCTGATGTACCATAAAATACAAACAAAGCAGTTAATGCAGCAATACTTACCAGCTCCCAAGATTCATGAACCTCACTATCAAAAGTTTTCAAAAATGCAAAACATGAGCTACAAAACAGGACCACCTCATGCGTGGGTTTAGGATGCCACTGACTATGATAAAAGCCAAGCCTAAGATAAACACAGCATTAAGAAAATGAAACATGCGAAAATCCTAAGTAGAACCTGTGTAAATGTTCACGTACATGCCCAATGCTATTTAGACTGAATTTAAATGGTATTGAATTGTAGAGGGAAAAAGGAAGTGGGGAAGAGGGATGGAGAGAGAAGAGCGTGACGCGCCAATAGATTCACAGACTTTATAAAGCAACATTTCATACAAACATATGGTTTGCTGTTCTCATTGTCATATCATGTTTGCTATTTGAATTCTGGTCATGGATATACTGAGGAAAGAATGAATTTCAGTAATTTCCATTTATGGAAGTGACATTTTAGGTACTTATGGCTTCCTCAACAGGTCTAGAAGTAGCCCTGTTTCTGTCCTTGTCTTAGATAATCTGCTTGATAAGGAAAACAGTTTGGACTTCTTAACGAACAGTAATTTTAGGAACCTGGAATTCAATACGTTAAGTCAAACATGCAAAAAACCCAGGATTATTCCATTACTACAGAACTTGAGCGGTGATGAGCAAAGATTGATACAACACATTAAGTAAAGCTCCCTCTTTTCATTCCTGATACTACATCTTAACCAAAATTTCCTTCAGATTGCTAATTTACCAAAATAGGGCAAGTGTGCATTTTGCTCAAAAGCAGGAATTAGTCTGAAACAACATACAAAAAAAACATCTGGCAGTTATCTTTTCCCAATTCCAATCCAGGCAGTCAATTAAGTGACTTGAAAAGGACCATGTTCAGTTTATCATTCGGTTTATCATTTAGTTTTAAAACTGGAATGAATAGAAGTATTCAGCAGTCTTTGACAATCCCAGGAATGGGCTTTGCTTTGTATAATTAAGAACTGCAGAATTATGGAATTCAAATTTCAGATATGAAAAGCCACAAGACTGATACATTTGGAATTTGAAGGATTTACACATAGCAGTCAACACAAGTGGAGCACAATTCTACTGTACTGAACAACTTTACCTCTTGGACAAATACAAACAAATAGGCTGGGACAGAAGAAACATGTAGCCAGACACCTTAAAATAGTACAATTCAAAAAAAAAGGTTGATCTGATTTAGTTTGAAGTTCAGTAGGTCCAGAAAAGGTGTACAACGCAGGGTGGTGAGACCTTGTCGTTCCTTTGAGATATGGATTTGGCTGGTTTGTGCAATGTTTCCATGTAATGCTGTGATTTACTAACTCAGGCACATAAGGCAAGGAAAGAAAAGCTAGTTGAGTTCCATAAATTAAAATACATGGCAAATGCTGTAAGAAGCTGCTCACGAAAGAATGCAGTTTCATTCTTGTTGCTGTAACAGAAAGTGCGTAGACCTAGAAAAGAGAAGCACGCAACATACAGCCCAACATTGAATGATTAATTTAGAGATAAAAATCCATAGTTAATAAGTAGAACAATGTTTTATGGATTTGTTGAAAAATGGCATTTTATACATTAGAGACGAAAGGACCTCTAAAAATGGGCTAATACCCAAACATTTACACAGGCACTTTTTAGTATTAATGCAAACTAAGAAATGTATTGAAATTTGGCAGGAATAACATTTGAGCCTTCATAAATTTTTTCTGCAAGTTTCACGAGTGCTCTAACCCTCAAAGAAAATAAAATCTGAAGACTTGGTGACCACATAAGAAAACTGCATGAACAGACTGAAACAAATGAAGTTTGGAGGGTACTAAGGGAAAAAAATGAGAAACGTTAGGCATGTGGTTCAGGAAATGTTAATGTCATGCACTAAGAAACAAACTCACACCCCACAGTAGTAGAAGCAGTAGTGGCAGCAGTAAACACTACATGTGTAGGGGTAGAAACATTTGTTACATCATGGTGCTGGCTGGCGATGGAAGGTTGCCGCCTTAGAGCTCCCTGAAAGGAAGTTCCAGTCTGGAAAGCATTCACTACATCCATCTGCAAGGAACCAGAGAATGTGACAGCTTGTTCAGAGAGAGAGAAAGAAAAAGAATGAGAGTAAACCATCCGATCTATAATACACAAGCAGAAATTACTAAAAGGCAAGAGTTTACAGGATAGCATTAGAGTTACGGTTAATAAAAGCAAAAAGTAGTCTGGGGTAATCCAGGCACAGGCCTTATCTTCCATTTTAAAAAAAAGTAGATAAATAATACCAGAGGTCGGAATAGGAGAAGGGCATTTGGCCCCTTGAGCTTGCTCTACCGTTCAATAGGATCAAGGCTAATAATATTGCCTTTATACCTGAGTCTGTATTCTGTTAAGACCTCTGAACCACAAGATCTGACCATGACGTAATTCTCTCTCTGCATGGTCAATTTCTTCAATATCTTCTTCCAACTCATCCTCTGGTATTTCTTCCTTTTGTGTGCCAAGACCAGCTTCCTTGAGAAATGTTAGATGACTTGTTGGAATTGTAGCGATCACCTATAACAGAAACAAGCCAATCACTGAATTTCACCTAAAAACTTCAAAACATTTCTATTGTTTCAACTCTGTAGAAACAGACACAGCTTATTTAAAGGATCCAAATGAACTTACTTTATTCAATACAATACCTACAAATTTCAACTTCAAAATCTGTACATGTAAAATGGATCAGAATTCCATCGAGAGAAGGATAAATGGGAGAGATTGCAGACCGAAATAGAAAGGGAGAGCTTCTAAGCAGATACATTATATGATTAGAAAGGCAAATTGAATGTAGTCTTATCTATAGGGGAGGCCTAATAGTATTGTTGCTGAACTGTTAATCCAGACACCCTGATAATGTTCTGGGGAACAAAGTTTGAATCCCACTATGGCTGATGGCAGAATTTGAATTCAATAAAAATGAGTCTTGAATTAACGATGACCATGAATCCATTGTTGATTGTTGGGAAAACTCCACCTCACTAATGTCCTTGAGGGACCGAAACTACTATCCTTACCTGGTCTACATGGGATTCCAGACCCACAGCAATGTGGCTGACCCTTAAATGCCCTCTGCAGAGCAGTGCAAGATAGTTAAACTTAAGGTAAATAGATTCTTGAATCAAAATGTTATGGCCATGAACAAGTGGGTTGAGACTACAGCTATGACCCTCCCAACTGTTGGTTTACACTTTTACAAAAAGTACCTTTTTTGTATTGTGGACCAAAATGGAAAATGATACTGTTTTAAACCAAAAAAAAAAAAAAAGGAACTGTGGAAGGAGTTTTGAAAACACCTTACTAGAACTCAATTATATTTACACTGTTGCCTTGTTCAATGTGGATGGAGTGGGAGACAGAGGAGATTATTGCTGAACTCAGCAGTGTCCATGTTCAGTGAAGCTTTGCCCAAAGACAGGCTGTGCATTCAAAAGCAAAAATCAGTACCAGTTACATGGGCTGGGAGTGCTCAGCACAACAACTGATTTCCTTCTGGATAGATAGGCAAGCTATGCATGAACTTTACAGCTGCAGAAAGCCTCCAGACTCAAGACAGCATCCTCTCTCTCCTTGTTGAGAAGTAACAAAAGAATTTGAAGATAGCTGGTTATTACTCACCATTTGCCTAAAAAACTAACCCCTCGAAACCAGACTGAACAATTAGTGTGCCAACAACTCTGCGTCTTCAATAAAGAAGAAAAAAAGAGAGGGGAATTGGGCAAGTGATTAGAGACAAGGAGGACAGCTAAGAAGCAAAAGGACACTCACCGAATCCTGTGGAATACAGCTATTGAACTGTTCCCCAGCAATTTTTCCTCCACATTTTTGATTTGTCTATCAGCATGCATGTCCGAGAGTTTAAGGGGTAGAGTTTAAGCCAGAGTTCAGTTCATTGTTTGCTTTTGGTTACAACTGATTTATTTGCAATAGTTTAACTGCAGACACTTGGTCAGTGCTTTTAACTAGTGTTCGTCAGGGAGGAAAACAGGGGACTTCAATTTGAATAAATTTGTTAACTTGTGACAACCAAGAGAACCAAGACTCAAGTAACAGCATGCATTCCCATGTGGATCTTGACAGTTTCATTATTTTATTTGAAAATTTGTTTAACCAAAGAGTCAGATAAACTCTGGCGATTTGCTGGGTATTACCTGCAACCAACATTAGAATTCATGATTTAAACATTCACTCCCTCCACCAATGGCAGGCGCATGCACAGTAGCACCTGTACACTAGAAACACACCAGCTGCCAGAACTCCAAGGTCATTCACCATCTAGATTTAAAAATATATTGTCATTCCTTCACTGCTGCTAAATCAAAATGCTGGAACTTCCTCCCATCAGAATGGAGTGTATTATCTATGTCACAGACTCCAATAGTTGAAGGGAGCTGTTTACCACTACTTTCTCAAACTTGGTTAGGAGATGGACTATGAACATTGGCCTTGCCAGTGACACCCCTTACCATAAGCATAACATTTGTTCTGCTGAAACAGATTCATTATTCAGTACTTTACAAAGTTTATAAAGCTACTTTAAGACTGTGCAATGATTTTCAAATTGAAAATTCGTAAACCTTAGTGTCCAGTGAAATGCCTATGTTTTGCTCACAAAATTTGACATAACTTGCTTTATCCCAAGATGAATGGATGATCTGCTTAGCAATTATTAAAAAGTTTAGCCATTGTTTTAACACTTGAGATTACTATCAATGCCAATCCAACATTGAAGTAATTAGCCTCAGAACACCAGAGAACACAAACAATCCATGAAATATATGGATAACCAAAGCTTGTAAAGTGGCCCTGGCCAGTCTTTGAATTTAAAAACAGACCTAACAATCTAGACCAGGCATTCCATGCTTCACAAGCCAACGGTTCTGCTTTTTATTCAGTTTTGTTTTCACAAACTCGACACAAATAATCTCAATGTTATGAGAAATTATTTCCAACCTTTCAAGTTAAAAAGTGTTATAATAAAATGCAAAGCAACTCCAAAAGCAAATTGCTTACCTGTCCCCATATTAGCGTTCCCATTCCTAGAAAAACACACCATAACCATTGATCAGCTGTTAGCTTAGTGCAGCTAAATGGTTTCCCACCAAATTGAACAATGATGATCTGGGGAAAAAAACCAATAAATATTGAGATTGCAAACAAAAAGCTCAGTGTAATATTTAAATTCGATTAGCATTAGTTTGTCAAAGCTGTCACTCACCTGTATAATAAATGTTCCCAATACAATGCTACAAAATATTATATTGTTGAAAATTCCATCAAAAACGTTTCTTTCACCATGAATTTTTCGAGCATTCACTTCATTAAACAACTGCATCATGACAAATGTATTAAATACAATTGTGTAGTGCTCTGAAGGGGGCGCGTGAAGAGGAGCATTTCGTCCACTGTCAATATCAAATATTTTTTCACCTGAATCAATTAAAAGGTTATATTTAGAAAAAACTGATTCCAGTACGAATAAAGTGGCTAGAAATTCTGCAAAAAAAAAAATCAAATAAATCTAGTTTCAAAAAAAAGGAATTTCCCCATCCCTAATTAAAATTTTTTATTTAAAACTGAAAGAATTGCGGATGCTGTAAATCAGGAACAAAAACAAAATTGCTGGAAAAGCTCAGCAGGTCTGGCAGCATCTGTGAAGGTAAAAACAGTTAATGTTTCAGGTCCGGTGACCCTTCCTCAGAACGTGCGTGTAAATTTTTTCTATATATTAAATTCCAATGGAAGCTACTTATTAAAGCCAAATTGTCTTGACCTTCATTTGTCAGTGATTATTGGCCACAGCAAGTTTAGCCTGGACAACTAAAGTGAAGTTGGGCGATTTCAATTAAACAGACAAAGCTAACAAGTAGCAGCACTCTGGGTTCACTCGTTCTTTTACAGTATGACGATTGCAGTTATTTTGTTCTCTTCCCTAGAATATCAACATCTTTAATTTTTCCTGAATTTGAGCACACTGCTTAAATAGGTTTCATTCTCATTTTGCTGTATTTTGCAAAATTTAAGACACTGAGCCAACTCCCATTCCATTCAAAGGAGGCCACTTAAATTTACTTCAATATTTATTCACTCATGGGATGTGACCTTCACTGGCTGGCCAGTGTTTATTGCCCGTCCTTAAATTGTCCTCAAAAGGTGGTGGTGAGCTTCCTTCTTGAACTGCTGCAGTCCACTTGCTATAGGTAACATTAGGGAGGGAATTCCAGAAGTCTGACCCAAAGGACAGCAAAGGAACGTTGGTATATTTCCAAGACAGAATGGTGAGTGGCTTGGAAGAGAACGTGCAGGTGGTGTTCCCATGTACCTGCTGTTCTTGTCCATTTAGATGAAAGTAATTTGGGGTTTGGAAGGAGCTGTCTAAGGAGGTGTGAATTTCTGCAGTGTATCTTATAGATAGTAGCAGTGGGCATCAGGTGTTGGTGGTGGAAGGAGTGGCTACAGTGCCAAATCAAGTGGGCTGCTTTATCCTGAAATGGTGTCAAGCTTGAGTATTGTTGGAACTGCACCCATCCAAGTGGGGAGTATTCCATCACACTCCTGACTTGCACCTTGTAGATGGCCAGGCTTCAGGGTGTCACTTTTAAAATCCAAATATACCACATTTACAGGATCCCCTCATCTACCTTGCATGTTATTTCCTCAAACATGTCAAATGATTTCCTTTTTGTAAAATTGTTAACTGTTAGAAGCAATTCCTCCTCTAAAACTTTAAAATAATAGGTCTCATCAATTAGTTCATTGGCTACGACACCTGGCTAACCTCCGAGTTAGAATTTGCTCTCTCCTTTCATGAATTGGTTGGCTGCATTTCCTACCTTCCAGTTTTGCAATTCTTTTCTAGAATTTGGGAAGATAAAACCAGTCTATGCAGAGCTAACTCAAACCCCTGGTGTAGCCCATCAATCCCAGGGGATTTGTTCGTTCTTGAAAAAAAAAGGAAACAGGAACAGGGCCTTCGGCCCTTCAAGACTGCACCGACATGCTGCCCGTTACAACTAAAACCCACTACCCTTCCAGGCATCATATCCCTCTATTCCCATCCTATTCATGGATTTGTCAAGACACCCTTTAAAAGTCACTATCCTATCTGCTTCCACTACCTCCCCTGGCAGCAAGTTCCAGGCACCTAACAGCCTGTGTAAAAAAAAAAACAAACAAACAAACTTGCCTCATACATCATCTTTAAACCTTGCCCCTCACACCTTAAACCTATGCCCCCTAGTAACTGACTCTTCCACCCTGGGAAAAAGTTTTGACTATCCACACCCTTCATAATTTTGTAGACCTCTATCAGGTTGCTACTCAACCTTTGTCATTCCAGTGAGAACAACCCAAGTTTCTCCAACCTCTCCTCACAGAATGCCCTCCATACCAGGCAACATTCTGGTAAATCTTTTCTGTCCCCTCTCAAAAGCCACCACATCTTTCTGGTAGTATGGCGACCAGAATTGAACAATATTCCAAACACAGTCTAAAGTTCTATAAAGTTGCAACATTACCTGCCAATTTTTAAACTCAATGCTCTGGCCGATGAAGGCAAGCATGCCATATGCCTTGATGACCTTCTCCATCTGTGTTGCCACCTTGGTGACCTGTGTACCTGTACACCCAGATCCCTCTGCCTATCAGTACTTTTAAGGGTTCTGCCATTTACTGTTTATTTTCCATCTGGATTAGACCTTCTGAAATACATTCTCGTTCTTCCAGATTAAATTCCATCTGCCAAGTCACCAGCCGATCTATATCCTGCTGTATCCTGACAGTCCTCTTCACTATCCGCAATTTCACCAACCTTTGGTGTCATCTGCAAACTTACTAATCAAACTAGTTACATTTTCCGCAAGGTCCCAACATTGATCCCTGACAAACACCACTAGTCACAGCCCTCCGTTCAGAAACACAACCTTCCACTGCTACCCTCTATGAGGGAGCCAGTTTTTAATTCATCTTGCAAGCTCACCTCTGACCCCATACAACTTTTTCTGTATCAGTCTGCCATGAGGGACCTTGTCAAAGACCTTACTGAAATCCATGTAGACAACACCCACTGCCCTTCCCTCAATCATCTTCGACACTTCCTCAAAAAACTCAACCAAGTTAGCAAGACACAGCCTCCCCTTCACAAAACTACACTGCCTCTTGCTAATACACCCAGTTATTTCCAAGTGGGAGTAAATCCTGTCTTGAAGAATCCTCTTCAATAATTTCCCTACCGCTGCCCTTTCAGTAAATCTAATTTCAGCAACCCTTTATCTTACAAGTAATTAAGTTAATGATTTTTAAAGAACTTAGATGTATAAATTCAGATGAATCATTTGTAATCCAAAAATCAAAACATTTTTCTAACAAGACCTAAATGGTATTTTAGTTAACTGCAAGCTACTGGCATTTAAATCCTTATTAAAAATCTGAAGCTGGAGAATTTAAAACACTCTGCTCACCAGCAAATAAGAGTGTAAAAACAACGATGAGTTGGTAGACAGCATGACCCAAGATATTCTTCATCATTGTACGAGAAATTAGTGGTTTATTTCTGCCATAAGGCTTTCGTAGCAGGAGTGCTTCAGTGGGTGGTTCAGTGGCTAAAGCAAGTGATGCAAACGTGTCCATGATCAAATTTACCCAAAGCATTTGCACAGCCTTCAATGGAGAATCCTAAAATTCAAGAATTTTCAAACATTAAAAACTAATTGAACCATTAATTCACAAGTTAGAGGAACAGAATTATTACAGCATGAAGTGCTTCTATTTCAACTAACTTCATGTGTAGCTAAGATAATTCTGAAAGCACTGGATATTTCACAAGAAAGACTTCAAAATGAAAGGATTGAGTTTGATGACAATATTGTTCCCCATGGCAGTCTTTCGGATAGTTTCAGAGAAGATGAAGACTGGACAACAGAAAATTCAAGTAACTGACTGGCTTAACTTGTTTACTTAGTATACAGTAACAATGTAATTAACCATGCAAAAAGTATCGCAAGGGCTTTCCTTCCACTTTAGTTTCTTCACTCCATTTGCCAAACAAAAGCAGTAAGCAGCAGCATACTGAAGTGTTAGACCACAGAATGCATATACAGGTTGAACATTCATGAGCCTGCTAAGGAGATCATTGTTAAATGGTAGTTGTGCATCTTTAGCTTCAATGCTCACTACTGATGGTGAAAAATTATTTTCAAAAGAACAGGGTCTTTTGAAGAGCAGGTGGGTGAAAAAAGGCATTTACAAAAAAAAAAGGACAGAAGCAAGCATAGTTAAGTTCCATTATCTTTTGACTAGGTCAAACAACTGCTTTATCAGAGTAGCTGATCCTTCCAGTGTTACCTCAAAATTTAAAAACATTCCATTTATTCATTTTGGGCTTCACTGGCTAGGTCAGCATTTAATGCCCATTCCAGAGAGCATTTAAGTGCCAAATATATTGCTGTGGGTCTGGAGTCACATAGACCAGGCCAGGAAACAATGCTAGATTTCCTTCCCTAAAAAGGCCTGGGAATTAGTTGGATCTTTATGGCAATCAACAGTAGTAACATGGTTGCCATCAGACTAGCTTTTTATTGGATTTAAAATTTCACCATCTACAATGACAGGATTCAACCCATTCACAGATTAACCCAGGGCTCTGGATTACTGACTTTATCACCACCTTAATACTACCTGACCCAAGATTATTTTTACCTAATTTGTAGGCCAGAAATAAAAAGTGTACAGTACCCTCAACTTTGGTTCTGTAAACACGAAGAACTGCTAAACTGCCAGTCACATGATCATCAAGTCACTGATCGCTAGGAACGCTAATCTGAGTCTATTGTATTTAACTCCTCAAATATCATGCACTCCAAGGATGGGGAGTCCCTGTTTTGGGAAAGATAATAGCACCAATGGAATTATTGCAATATTCCTTGAAACATGGAACATTGAAAACTATTACAGAATTGCTCCTATACTCCTAGACAGTATGCATAAAAAAAGTGTTCACCAGGACAAGGAATATATAAAAACCTACAGTTGGGAAGAGAAACTCCCAAAGTAGTTGAAGACAATTATAAACATTTGGATAAGTTATTTCTAAGTACCAAGGCAAGAGGGGTCATTTTGGTACGGCAAATCAGGACAACATAATACACAAGGTCCTGAGAGGCCTTGCCAAACAAAGGGTCTTGGGGTACAGGTTCATAGTTCCTTGAAAGCAAATTTGCAGGTAGATAGGATAGCATTTAGTACACGCCTTTATTGGTCAATCCATTGAGCATAAGAGTTGGAAAGTCATGTTGTGAGCATACAGGACAGTATTCCAAAAGTGGCCTGACCAAATGTTCAATTCTGGTCTCCCTGCTATAGGATGTTCTGAAACTTGAATAGTCTCCAAAAAGATTTGCAAGGATGTTGCCAGGGTTGGAGGCTTTCAGCCTTTCACCATGGCTCAGTAGCCCAGCGGTATTTTCTCTGGACCGGAAGATGAAGGGTGACCTTGTAGAGATTTATAAAATCTGAGGCATAGATAGGGTGAATAGTCAAGGTCTTTTTCCCAGGGTGGGTGGTCCAAATCTAGAGGGCCTAGGTTTAAAGCGAGAAGGGAAAGATTTAAAGAGGGACCCACGGGGCAACATTTTCATGTGGATGGTGCGTGTATGGAATGAGCTGCCAGAGGAGGAGGAGACTGGTACAATTGCAACATTTAAAAAGCATTGGATGGGTATATGAATAGGAAGGGTTTAGAGGAATAATGAATCAAATGCTGGCAAATTTAGATTAATTTAGAATATCTGGTTGGTACGGATGAGTTGGACTGAAGGGTCTGTTTCCATGCTAAACATCTATGACTATGCCTGACTATTTTTAATACAAAGTTGTTAGGAGAAAATTTATTCGCAGATTTGCTGGAATGGAAAGAGTGGATGAGTCAGATCATTAATATAGGCTTTGCATCCAGAGCTACCACTAGGTAGAGCAATATATACAAAATTGGGAGTAAATAGCCTGGGTTCATGCCTGTCCATCAGTAACCATCACCCTGTCAACTGCTGATGCATTCTTTTCAAAAGACTACCCAAATAAATTCATCCTCTTGCTAATTTATCTTCTGGATTAGAAAATCAAAATTTATGAATTATAGACAGAGCATTAGCTTTAATAATGTATCACATTGTTAAATTTGCCTTTTTAAAATTGTGGAAGTCTGCCATTTTACTAATACATTTCATCAAGTTTAGTTAAATGGACAGGTTCCCCATGCCCAAATTATTACATTAATACAATAAAGAGTTTGCAAGTTAGCTGGTAATTACTAGTTTGTTGCATTTAAAGTAACTTCTGCCCCAAGTTTTCAAGCTGACTAAAAAAAGTGGTTCAAAAGAAAAAAAATCTCTTCAACTCTTGCTGTTCCTTGTTGCAATAGCACTGCGAGTACATCTGCATGTGCAGATAGATGAGGTTTTAAATTTTAATCAGACCATTTGATGGTGGCACCCTATGCCTGTGCTGGGAACACTATTTTAAAGGGGACAGTAACTAAACATTTAGATCAGAAGCCGCCTATAGGAGTGCAACAAAATGAGTTTTTGACTTAGATCAAGTGAACTTGTTTAGTCAGAATTGATGGAATTACATTTTTCCCCTTTAACTCGCATCAGTTTCATCACTCAAAAGTACAAAGATAGAAATCACAACCTACATTCACAGGATTATGAAAGGAAACCACTTTTGATCATTGTTGAGAAGTTTACCAAAATAAAAGCAAAATACTATACAGGTGGCTTCTGAAGATAGGCAAGTAGAGATTTTAGTGGTGTAATCCCAGATTCACATTTTAAAAAAAAAACAAAACAGTAAAAGGGGCCTTAAACAGACTCAAAAAACAATGTTTTTCATGCCTGGTGTTACTCTTGTGCTTGCTTTGTATAAGTAGTATCTCAATTGATTCCATCCTCTAGAAACAGCCTCTCTCCAATAATTACCCTGTCCTAGGAGTAGAACCCAGATAGCATGGGAGATAAACATCTAGGTTTTCAGGCAGCTTGGAACTTGGATATTATACATTAGTTCAGCTAGCGTTTCAAAATACATACCCCCTTTATTCATGATTTTCACTTGGTGTTCAAATCTCTGGTTTTGCTAGCTTGTGAAAGAGATCAGTGTAATTGATAAATATATCCACAGGCATTTATACTCATTCATTTAAGGGGTGGCTACAGTTAGGTAATTGGTTATCCAAAACCCCAGGCTAGTGTTCTCAGATGGGTTTGAATAGCAGATAGTAAGGATGGAATTCAACAAAAATCTGGAATAAATAGCTAATCTAAACCCATCTGGTACACTAATGTCATTCAGGGAAGGAAATCAGACATCCTTACCTGGCTTGTCCTACATGTGACTTTGGATCCACAGTAATTTGGTGGATTCTTAAAATGTTTGCCAAGCCTTTAACACATCCCTACCAGTTTATTACACAAAGCTCTTTTCAAATTGATGAGTTTGTTACCTGTGTGATACAAGCACCAGTGAATGCCACAATCACTGCCACAACATTCACCGTAAGCTGGAACTGGAGAAATTTTGATATACTGTCATACACATTTCTGCCCCACATAACTGCTTTAACAATGCTTGTGAAGTTATCGTCAGTTAGGATTATATCAGAGGCTTCTTTGGCTACATCCGTTCCAGCAATACCCTGAGAAGGAAGGCAAAACAGACAATTGCAAATAAAATTTCTATAGAGCTTTATTTCCCTCAGTCAAAATAAGTATTAATCAAAGCTAGCAGATCCAAAGAAACAAAACAAATAGACAAAAAAATGCAGCATAAACCACTTAAATTCAGTGCATAAAGCTAACTTCTTGTACATACCATAGCAAACCCAACATCAGCTTTCTTCAGTGCTGGACCATCATTAGTACCATCTCCAGTGACTGCAACAACCTGTTTGCGTTCTAACACTGTGCTGTCAATAATGCCTTGAAATTAAAATACAGGAGGAATTTATTTTTTTTAATACACAAGGAATTTATTCAGTTCATACACTAATAACATTTGTGAAACATGATGTGATCATCTAGTTCATACTTTCTTCCTCATACAACACTGCAGTCTTAAAAGCAAAATACTGCAGATGCTGGAAAAACTCAGGTCTGGCAGCATCCGTTTAAAGAGAATCAGTGAACACGGAGTCCAGTAACCTTCCTTCAGAAAATTCCCCAAAGAAAGTAAACAAACAAACAAAAACACTCATTGGACTAACTCGTTCTCTCCACAAATGCAGTCTGAAGACCAGTTGAGCTTCTCCATTTTGTTTTTAAATCACCATACAGGGTGTTTTCTTGTTAACTGGGAAATTTTGGAATGACAAAAATTCTTTAGTACACAATTTAGAAGAAAATGATAAGCAAACAGTTCATTGAGAGATATGCCCAGGTTTGAGCATCACAAAAAGCAGTTCGTTAATGTCATTTCAACTCTACCCTGACCTGAATGTCTCAAAAGTGAACAGTTTTATGTAGCACAGCCACATCCAACCCAATGCAGCTCCAGAAACACATTTGGAAGAACAGAAAAAGGAAGAACAGAACAGAACAGAA